TGTTAATTGCTTTCTCGGCAGGGGGCAGTACGTACTGATCATGTAATCTATCTAACACTTCTGGATAGTAGGACGCAGAAGGATATATGGTTTTCATTTTGCCCCCACCCCCAATCTTTTAATATGCAAAATAAAGATGGATTCTGACAAGGTGTAAGGTGTAAACGTCTTCTTTCCAAAACTGGCCCATTTTCTGGCGTAATTTTTAACAGAATCCATAATATTTATGAAATTCCGACGCCAATCGAAGGATCGGTTTTCCCTATATTTAGGACGTTGTAAAATGATCTAAGGTCCTCATTTTTAACTATTTATACGTGTTTAGAATTGTGTAAATTTTCGCGTTTAGAATCGTGTACATTTCCTTTTGTAAGTTTTCATCAGAATGTTATTTGTAAAATAAGCATTTCCCTTGTTTGTTTTTCTTAATTTATTAATTAAAATCCATATAAAATGTAAAAGCGCAATTTACATAATAGAATGCAGAACGAACTAATTATCGCCCGTAAACAAGCAATATAAGTCGTACAATACTAAGTTCTCGTCAAATAGCGCGATCAATATACTGTGATAAACCGTACTTAGATCTTTAACGCCTTTTCGAAAAATCTTATTTTAATTATTATTTTCTTCTTATTGTGCATGTTGTGGTCAAGATAATCTTGAAATCAATTCATTGAAAATAAATATATATATTATTTTTTTTAAAAAAGAAATAAACATTTCTCAATGCTTACGTAACTAATAAGTCGACAAAAATACATGAACACGGCATGATTTTCGGGAGTTTTGATTATCTGCGTTAATCTCTTGAGCCTATTTGTAATTAATTGATTTTAAATTTCTGCAAATAAAAACTTTGATTAATTGGCCAGTTTATCAGATATTGAATCATTGGAAACATAAGGATAAAATTTGTAATTTTAATTCAAATCATTCCATGTTGCCAATTTTGTTCCTTTCTGCATATCATGATATCAAATTCAATCAAATTATGCGACCCACATACATGTACATAGTCTAATAGAACGAACAAAATCCGTTTTTTTTATCGGAAAATTACCTTAGAAATCATTATTTTTAATCAAAATATTAAGTCTTGCATATATTTAGTTACAGAAATATCATTTTCCGTTTTTTTCTTCAAAGTCTATGAAATAATATTGATAATTCTTTGAAATATTAAATAAGTATTAAGCGTATTTCGTTTTGAAAATATTGATTCCTAAATATTTTGAACTATTTTGAGTTAAGAATCGTGCGTTTGCGTCAACAATAGTGTAAGATCATATAACGTGTAGAATCGTGAACATGAAAGATCGTTAGTGTAACATGTTTAATCGTGCGTTAATCGTGCGGAATTGTTCGTGTAACGTGATCGTTCGTGTAAGTTGTCAACAATAACGTTCCAGCCACTGTAGCTATAGGGCGAATAGGTTGAACAAGTTCTTCCTATACATAAACAAGTTGGGGATTGTTTCAGATACTCTTTATCCAGGGCATGTGTTTTTTTGTTTTTTTTTTTGTTTTTGTTTTTTTTTTTTTTTTTTTTGTAAATGAAAAGTTTGGAAGTATTGGTCAATGTATTTTTGTAGGTGATACAAGGTGTAATGATAACTTGAAATATGGTGCAATACAAGTCTGGACCCTTTTGTGATTAAGATCAGTACTTATATTAACCGCGTCATTTTTTAAAATTAGTAATGACGTCTACAATGATTTAAATCTTCCAATGCCATATTGCAATATCTTTGTGGTTTTTCGAGATCAGGATTAAAACAATCTATTGGAATTCCACTGGGTACAAATTGCGCCCAGTTATTAGCAGACTTATTTTTATATTCATATGAAGCAGAATTTATGCAAAATCATGCGTGAAAAGAAGAAAACACTTGCTGTGGCCTTCAACTCGACATCTAGATATATCGACGACGTATTGTCAATTAATACTGGTAATTTCCATTCCTACCTCGATACAATATATCCTGGCTTGAGATAGAAGATACTACAGCGTCCGACACTTCTGTTTCATACTTGGATATTTTACTTGAAAAAGACACTAATGGTAATCTAACAACCAAGCTATATGATAAACGCGGTGACTTTAACTTTTCTATCGTCAACTTCCCTTACTTATGCAGCAATATACTTTCACCACCTGCATACGGAGTAGTTGATTGCATACACAAGAACATGCTCTACGTATGAACAATTTTTAAAACGAGGTAAGTTATTGACAAGCAAGTTGATGAAACAAGAACATCAACAGTCTCGATTAAAGTCATCATTTTGTAAGTTCTATGGTCTATACAATGACCTTGTCAGCAAATACAATTTATCATTAAGTCAAATGCTGACTGACGTTTTTCATACCAATTGCTAGTTAATTATTTATACACTGAATTGACTACGGATTTTTTCGTTATTTCTTTATCATGACAAAGAGCACATGGCTGGTGTGATCGGTCGGCAGGGGATGCTCACTCCTCAATGGCACCTGATCCCACCCCTGATGTTTCAGGGGTCCCTCTTTGCCCTGCTCTTATTTTGTATTGTTTTATGAATTTTGAAACCGAATACTGTTCTTTATCTCAGTTAGCAATTTTTGTCACTTCAGGCCCCAAGACCATAAACTGAGAACAGACTTAAGTCAAAATTTCGAACCAATATAACTTTTGAAATAATTTTGATAATAAATCAAGATTTTCATCATAATTTTAAATTTAAATGATAAATAGAATTGCAAAATATTTAGCAAATACATTAAAAAAGCTCAAGATATTGAAAATCAAATTTTTGACTTAAGTCTATTCTCAGTTTATGGTCTTGGGGCCAGGTCACGGACGGAAAACCAATTTAATTCTTCCGTTCACATATATCAACCAAATTCGTGTAAAGAAGGGGAAATAGCATGTTTGATTACTTCCTGTTCATCTTTCCTGACGTCATTGGAGATAATATATTTCGACACTTTCATTTGATTTTTGACAAATTTGCTTCATTGATGTATTACACATTACAATTTCTCAATACTTTTGAAGATATCAGAAAAAAATTTCACCCACTAGATCCCTTATATTGTGGATCAGTCCTTTTTAGAGACATCTTTGGAAATCTATACAATATTCGTTCCATATGTTTTAAAGAAATATTTTAGGACAAAGGATACTGTAGAAAAGGTGTTTTGGAATCCATGATGGGACTATTTTCAGGCCATAGCTTCGCACTTCCGGTGGCAATAATACTCAATATAATTCTACATTGATTGCTCTATGCTCACCGAAAAGAGCTAGATTCACATTTTGCATAAAATAGTCCTGTGATTATATCAATTTATAAAATTTCACCCTTTTCATATAAAAAAAATTAAGTAGGGACATAGTGGTTTCATTTCTTACATCAAGATTTCTTTTTTAGATTGTAAGTATTAGAAAACAGGGTTTGAAAAAATGCAATGTTCTTGAATTGTGCAGAAAACATGCATATTTAAATGCCTCCAGCAAAGAATTAAAATATGAACACAGCTCACGATCAATTTTTTTTAAATACAGAAATAGATACATCATTATGAAATTGTATTCTTTATCAGAGGTTTTGCTTTTTATAAATATTGAAAAAATTGCTTCAATTTCATACCGCTTCCAAAATAGTTTACGGGATATTTGGGGAATGACGCATTTTGTAACATTATGTTGCATTTACTAGGGAGATAATTACGTTATGTTTAATAGATAAATGGCTACATCTATTCGAAATGATAAATCTTGCATTTTCAACCTCATTGAACAATTTTGAGTTTTCGAAAATTCTCAGGACCAGAAAATGCCTTAAATGTCTCTTGCTCTTTCATTTTTCTATGTTCAATGTTTTTTTAGAACATTGCCGGACAAAGTGACTGTGTTAAAATGTCAAAATCACGGACATCATCGAAGTTTCCGAACCGGAAGTGACGTGATAAAATATACAAATTTGAATCTAGATTTGTTGATTTTGAAAACTTGCGGGCACAAAATCAGTGAGAAAAAAAATAATAAATCTGAAAATTAGTGAACAAAAACCTAAGAAAAACAAGAAAGTCTTCCGCTGAAGACGAAGACCTCAGAAAGAAAAAAGTACAACAAAATGTCCCCAAACTTCGATTTGGGAACATAAAAAAACTTCATTTCTTATATTTTAATATATATTAGACATTGATACAATTTTCCTTCGGCAAAGGCTTCAAATCTGCATATTTAAAAAGAAAAGATAAAATAGAACTTTCGAGCAGAGTAATACGTTTCTTGACGTAACTGATTGTTACACGTAGGCAAGTTATGTTTTACAGAATGGATTACCCAGGTTTGTAAAGGCAGTACACGGATCAGAATTCCGCGAATTAACACTATTTTCTATAATATCGTTATGTAACACAAATAAATCGGAAAAGTCTTGGATTTAACTTTTGCTATCATTATGAATTTAAAAGATTTCAATATTGGACTTAAACTACAGATGACACTTAGCTACGACGTCACAACACTACAACTTGGATAATTAATTTCAAATTGTAATAAAACTAACGTAAAAAATCTTTGTATCACGAAAAATGCTGCTAGAATCCTACTGTCCTATCACAGAAATAATTATTCAGCACTTCCGGGCGAAACCTTTCCAATTTTTTTTTACATTTCGTTCATGTAATCCAATAAAATGCATCAATCCCTGGGTACATAGACCCTCTGCTCACTCATATAAAATGTTGCTTGAACCTTAATGAATTTCTAAAAGAAATATATTTTCTTAGTAGAATACTAACAATTATAGCATAGCTTGCCGGGCAAATTTAGTCAAAAATTAGTCAAAAAGATACTTCACATTACCAAATCTATAATAATTTATATAATATTAAGAATAATCTCTTATCAGAGGATCCATATACTTTAAGCTTTAAATCTGAAGTAAATAATAATCGTGTAATTTGAAATAGGTGCCCGTGTAATTTTTTTCTTTGATTATTGTAGGTGACCGTATGTTAGACACTGGGTATACCGACAACGATCTGTCTGGTATGTCATTCTCCACCCCAGACAGAGATCACGACACTGCTATTGGTAGCTGTGCTGCTTACAGTGACCGTAGAGGAGGCTGGTGGTTTAGGAACTGTCACTCCGCCTTTCTCAACGGTCCCTGGTCTCCGGCATACTGGCCATGGCCCTGGTATCCGCCACTTGGGAATGGTAGAGAGATAAAGGAAACTTTCATGATGATAAAACACCATTGACTGTGTTATATCTTTAATCCATTTTATAATTGTTTGTTATACATGATTTTAAAAATGGTTAAATGTTTCAAGTACTTAATACAGCAAATTTATTAGTATGATTTTTTTTTTCACATGAAGAAATATTTAGAAGAAAGATAACTCTTCCTCACAGATGTATTTTTTCTTACAACCAAATAAAACATTGTGATTTTCTGACTAAGGAAGCATCGCTTCATGATGTTTTCTAGCATGACTTTCATAGGTATGATACTAAGTGTTATTTTCATATGCACCTCATATATTAAATTTAATGTTGTGATAATATATCGTTAATCTTTGTGTTCTCTGTGTTCGATTTCTTCATATCATGATCTGTCATAAATATTATTTCTGAGAAAATAAGCAGCGCTTCATACTTCAAACTATTTCCATGTTGCTCTAATGTTATTGTTGTTTATGAAAATCAATACTACAAATTTTAAGTTTTCTAAAGTGAAATCTATAGCAGAGGGTCGGGACCCCTTAAAAAGAATTTTTGAACTCGTAACTTTATTATTCAAGAATATATAGTAAAAAAGATATACGACGCCTGAAAATACTATAGCTACCATAGGAAAGCATTGTGTTTGTTTTTAAATGTCAGGGATATAAGGGGGAAAATCGTACTATAGAATTAACTTTTCCGAGACCACAACTATACAGTCAATATTGATTATAAAATTTCTTCACTTCTGTTTCAAATTAAATTTTTAAAAACTTAATTTACATTTATTCTATAGCCTTGAATCGAATGTGTTTTCTTTCGCTCCTCTTCAAATTTGAATAATATACCTTAGAACTATATTTATTTTTGTAACATACAACTTTTAATTTTATGTGGCCTTCAGTTATCTGTGATGGTAAACTGACTTTGAATCCATCTTCACCATTTTCTCAATCAGCTGCGCTTTCTACACCCATTAAAATTTTCCGTCCCTTCATGATGGAAACAATCAAGTTTGAATTGCTAAAACGCGGAACGGAATATTTTATTTTGAATTAAATCACTTAAGATATACAAATCGCTAACATAGCATTCATCTAGAATCGAATTTGAGAATTTGACAAGCAAAAACACAAAAAGAAGACAATTGTTTGATTCGGGAAGGGGGATAAAACAAATTTTAAGTTTCAACTCCAAAATCTTTCAGTATTATTTTTATACACTATAACTCACTACTTTAATTACAATCACAAAAAATGTGATGATGTCAACTTGAACGAAAATTTCCGTAGTGAAAAGGTTATGAGGGGGGGGGGGGGGGCAAATATTTGATATCTAGATGAACCATTGAAAGAGAAATAAAATTGTAAAAAAAAATTATATAGATTATACTTAGGGTTAACCTTTACGGCAAGCTCGAATAAACATCTCTTATATAAATACACACTGGTTGTGTATTTAATGTATTCAGAATCTTTGCATTCAATGAGGTTAAATTTTGTTTGTTTGCGGTACTTATGTGTGTGTGTTGGGGGGGTGTATATGAATGATCTCGTAAAAATGAGTTTGTTTTCCCGCTCATCGGAAAGGTCTGCTTTAAGTTGTAGTAGGTCTGTCCCTTTTTTGTATTCAACATATACATAAGATTTAATAAAAATATTTCCAAAATACAAAATAATTGACAAGCAAATGAAAGGGGGATGTGTCTTTTGCTCAACACGAAAATCGAATTCTGGGGTCGAATTTCTTTCACAACCATTTTTTTCCCCAAATGCTACCACTTAACCATCCTTTACTTAATCTGCGACTGGGCCTGTTGAAATCGGGGCATCGCTTGTACACCACTTCTGAACGGAGGGTGTGCATGACTCATGAATTCATAATAGTTTACAATAAAGTTTTATTAGAAATGACTTTTAAAACAAGAATATTGCTCTCTTATCTGATTTATTTCGAATATATGTTTTTTGTTTGACAAACGTTTTCCGTTCCGTTCCGCTTTCCGTTCCGTTTTCCATCCCGCGTTTATCAACACCTATCAAGCTGTACGTCGCCTCTCTGGGTACTTCGGATCATCAGCTTCAGGTGGCTGATCATTGTATGTCGGCAATCTAAATGACACATTTATTTTTTTTTACCTTATTATAACTTCAAAAAAAAACCACTAACGTTTTAGAGAATGTTTGTATTTTTTCACTATAAAATGGACATATAATTACCATGCATTAGATAGAATATATAATATGTAAATGGAATCTGTAGCGAGATGAAAATTTATTAAATACGTATATGTATTAAATATATGGAATGGATTGTAGGCGATTTTTTTTTATATGTGAGTGATCTCAACAATCTCGCTACATATACCAAAATTCCTTTCTCGCTAAAAATTTCTAATTCTTTAACTGATAGATCTTGGAAATAGGTCTTTGAATAAAATTTTAAAACATTTTCTAGCTAAAAATGGTCCTTCATTAATGCTTAACATATACTTTTCCTATACAAAACACAATTTCACAAATTTCAATTTTTTTTTTTGTTTTGTGAAATTGTTTTAATTAGCCTAATTGCGAATATTTCAGACTTTTTTTTCTGTATGGGGCTAATTTTTTATTGATTTTATTTAAAAAATGAATATACTGTATAGAGGGAAAATATCTCGCGTTGTTAATATTCGCTATATTCACGGTGTTAATGAATCTGTGAATTCAAGAAACAGTAAATAAGTTTTCAATAGATATAGAAAAGGTAGGAAACTTTTAATTTATACCAATTCCGCGAATTCAAGAAACCGTGATTTTTCAAATGAAGAGAAAAACGTGAAAATTACAACCCGTGAAATTATTCCCATATACAAACCTCCGTTATGCACGCACGCACTCACCGGTACCTCTAAACCCACAAACAAACAAACAATAACGTTACTTTTATTAATATCCTCTCTAACACCATTCATTGCAAGGGCATGCTTTTTTTTAGAAGGGAATAACAGTTTTACTTTTTATATATACCTGTATTTGAACAATACTTACCTACAACTTATGTACATATGTGTTTATTTTTTTCAGTCTTGTTGCACTGAATTAGTCGGAAACTGAGAAATCTATCATGGTATATATAGTGGCTACATCACTGTTCCTCAAGATTGCGTAATCGACCGGGTTTCGTAATTTATCACGTCACCTGCGCATGAGCAGTTGTCGGTAACTAGGGTAAAGAAAATCTTACGACCGTTTTTCACTTACGACAGTGTGTCAATCTTACAACCACCTTCATGAATAGCTCGTAACTTTTATCTTAGGATTATCGCAAGTTCAAAGCGTGTTCTATCTTGATCCTGATCGTGAAAGACATTGCAATGAACGTGTTATTCTATCGTACATTAGCGCAAGAGAGCGCAATGAAAGTATTAGATCGTATGAGTACGTATTAAAACGTAGGAAATCCTTTCTAATCGAGAACTCGGATCGTGATATTCGTGACAGATCAAATCCTTTTTCGACTAAATCTTGATAATCCTATTGAAACTTAAATCATCTTATCCGAACGGTAGTCAGATCGTCAGAGATCGCATCACATGAAATTTATCCATCGCGGGCATACCGCATAAAAT